GGCGCGGCGTGGGAAAGCTCCGCGGGGAGCGGGGATGGAGCCCAGCGGGGGCCCGGCCTTTGGGGAAAATCCTGTCTGGGGACCCCTGGGGCTGTTCCCCGCTTGAGGGGACCGGGACGTGAGTGAAAAATGACGGATTTGCCGCAGTGCCCCATTTCGGAAGGTTTTTAGATGCAAAACCCGCTTTTGTGGCTACAGCTGGTTTGTGTTGAAACTCTGAACGGCTCCACGCACCCCATCCCGAAAGGATGCAGATGGTGTGGGGCGGAGCGGGCGGGACGGCTGCCCTCGGGATCACCCCGGGCCACCCAGCTCCTGGGCTGGGGCAGGAGGAAACCAGCGCGGGCAGGGGAGCTTAGCGGAGAGGGAGGAGAGGGACATGCCTGGGTCGGGACAGGTCGGTGGTGACCCTGACCCCGGTACAGGGAGGCGGCCGGGTGCCAAGAGCCGTAAGGGGCAGGGTGGGGCGATCCCGGTATCGCCGCCTCCCCCTGCAAACGGCTTGTCAGCAATCACCGCTGAAACTTAAACAAACCGCAGACCTGGGCGCTGGCACACTGCGGCCGGACCCTGCCGCAGCGGTGGGTGCACAGAGGTGTCAGAGGACTGGGTGAGTGCTCTGGATCCGCTTCACCCCCCACAGCCCCCGGTCCCTCGTGGGCACCTCCTGCCTGGCTTCCCACCCCGCTGCTGACAGGGGTGGGGATGGGTGCACCCATCCTTCCTCGGTGCTCTCCCGCAGCTCGGTCCTTCCGGGCAGGAGCGGGCAGGTGCCTGATATTTTTTCTCTGTGCATTTCCTGGTCGGAGGCAGGAGGCAGGGCAGGCTGGGTGGTCCCGAGCCCCGACGACACCGACAGCTCCTCTCGGCGCCCGGGTGTCCACAGGAGCTGCTGCGATGGAGCTGGGGGATGTCTGGAAGCCCACGTACGGCCCTGGCCCCGAAGCGCCGGGGAGCAGCACGCCGGGGCTGGTGGCAATGGCGCACGGCTTCCTGCGGCTGGTGCAGCCCAACGCCCTGCCCACAGGTGGGTGCTGGCAGAGGGGGCTGGTACGGCTGGGGTCATCGGGAATGGGATCCAAGGATTGCCAGCTGTGTCCTGCTCATGCCCCATAACAACTGTGGGACTATCTTAGCTGGGCCCCAGGACAGGTGTTAGAGGTAGTGCCACCTTGCAGAGTCCTGCCCCATTCTCCCTCCAGGTATCTTAATCCTAAGATCCCAAAAATGTGCAGAGCAAACTCCACTCTGCCTGCAGGCTCTTTGCCCGTCTTGCAGCCCTCTGTGTTTGCTGGCCACCAAAAGCAGTGTGTCCTGGTGTCAGCGTGCTCTCCCTGTGCACTGCCCTGCCTGCCAGCTCTTGCTCCTGTCGCTGTCACAGCTCTGTCCCAAAGCAGCTGCAGGTTTGCACAGGTGATACCAGGACCCTGCAGCTGCTCCATATTCATGGGGCAAGTGCTGCCCACCTGGAGGGAAATGCCACTCTGGGTACTGCCATTGTGCATCCTCCTTCACTGGCTTCAACCCCTGCTCACCATCAACATGCTGGAAAAGGTGTTCCCCACGGCTGGCAGTACAGGACCTGTGTCACATAGACACCAGGGTACAACCAAAGTCTCCAGGTGCCATCAAGGCTTGTAATGAGGGCATGTGGCACAGGCAGGGAGAGGCCTGGGAATGAAAGAGGCAGCGTGGCAGTGGGCCTTTGCCCCTGTACTCAGTCCTGACCGGCAGTGCCCTTGGACTTCTCTGCAGGAGGGCAGCCCCAGGGCAGTGTCCTTTATGCCCACAGTGGTGAGGAACTCCCTTGTTCTGTGAACCCCTGAGAGCCTGGGAGCTGGCAGCACTTTTCCTGCTTGCAAAAATGCTGCATGATGTGATGGTTGGGGAGGGCAGCTGCAAGGGAGAAAAATGCCATACTCAGAGCTGGTCTGAGCTGCAGGTGATGCCTTGGGCTGGGAGGGGCGAGCAGGGTCTGGGACCCTCTTGGAGAGCTCCACAGGGCCCAGCACCTGCTCACAGCCCTCTGTGCTTCTTGTCTCCCAGAGCTGATTAATTTTGAGCAGTCCCAGAATGGGTTCAGCCGAGATGACATCAATGAGGTGAGCAGGCAGCTGGGGTGGGGAGCTGGCAGCCCCAGAGCACCGTGGACTGGGGGATACTGGTGGGTGCTGCTCTGAGGCTGAGCCCTGGATGCCGAGCAGCAGCAAGGGGACATGTTCTGCTCCCTGGGAGACCCATTTTGTCTGTTTGGGTCTGGACAGGGTGCGCAGAGCTGAGGGACCTTTGGGGACACCAATGTTACGCTGCTTCTCATTCTTCCTATCCCAGCTGCTGCTCTACGAACTGGGTTTCCTGGTCTGCGCGGCCATTGGAGTCCTCCTCATCATCCTGGTGCCGCTGGTGGGATTCTGCTTCTGCTGCTGCCGCTGCTGCGGGCACTGCGGGGGCC